AAAACGGCTGAGTCAACGGCAGCGGGGGGGGGGGGCCGGGTGCGAGCTCCCAAAAGATGCCTCGGAGCAGAATCACGGGGCTGCCCTCCTGCTGCTGCTGCTGCTGCTGCTGCTGCTGCTGCTGCTGCTGCTGCTGCTGCTGCTGTGCAATAACACTATCACTGAGGCCGACGTCACAACCAAGGCACGGGCAGTATGGGCAGCTGCGTGAGAAACAGAGGCGCTGGCAGGAAATGCAAGCGCCACTGTTGCCGCCGCTGCCGCCGCTGCCGCCGCCGCAGCCTGAATGCCATGATGCTGCCGCCTGTCTGAGAGCCGACCGCTGGGTCCCGCTGTTGAGACCCAGTGCAGCAACGCCAGCCTCACCTCCATCTTAAGAGTGTTGAGGTTGATGTCTTTGCCGTCCCGCACGCCCTTGATCAGGGCAGACACCACCTGGGCACAAGCCGATGCATGTGCATGCATGCATGCATGCGTGCGCGCTTGTGAGCACAAGCAGACGAGTGCGTAATGCTGGCTGCGCAGCCATGTGACGTGAATGTATGTATGTATACAACCTCAGAACAAAATCTGCCTGGATGTATAAAGGAAAAACGTGAGGTGATTGCTGACGACTTGTAGAGAGGCGAGGGTTTCCATCAACTACCCCGTCCACGGGTTGGGTTCGCGATGTGAGCCGGCTGCGGCGGCGCACGCACCGCAGGCAGCTGCTGATACTGGCATGGGTCGCGGCCGCGTCCAGGCGGGCGGCAGCAAAGCCCTAACGCACCTCTGCGATCGCGCGGACCCGCGCCTCCTCTGGAGACACGCCCGCCCGCGCCATCGCTCCGCCGCCGCCGCCGCCGCCAGCCTTGCCGCCCCCGCCGCCTCCCCGCGCCGCGCCGCTGAAGGACGCAGGCGCGGGCGGGGCGTCAGACGCGGCGCCGCCGGCGCCCATGGCAGCTGTAGAGGCTGCTCAGGCTGATGATGGAGCAGGGTCCTATGCTTGCGCGCAGTGCTGGCTGCGCGCCACTGCACCACTGCGCCGGTAGCACACGGCTGCCGTTATGTGCGGCTTGCTAGGACAGGCGGTGTCGGGGCTGAAAGCAATTTGGTGTGACAGGTAGCGTTGTGATGCAGCTGATCGCTGTACAAGTGACCGCGTCAGAAGAAGGCAGGTGCGTCGAGTGTGCGCGTTGCTGAAATGATCAAACTTAAAGCCTTTGCGCGCACGTTCAATATACGTGCGTAATACCCATAATCACAGTATTCAATCAACAAACAATAATCTGTTGCTTCGTTGATCTGCTTCACCGCGAGTGACGCAGCATCTCGGCGTGCTCAGGATGCTGGTGCGCGCGGCGCAATGCACTGCGTCGCAATGTAGCTACACACACTATGCGCGGACGCCTGCTGGCATGCTCCCGCTTCGCATCGCCCGCCCTACCGGCACGGCGCACCGCCCCACCCGCCCTGCCTACGATCACATGCGCCCCCCTGGCGCCCCCCGGGGCGTCAAATATGTGCGTCAGGCCGACGTCTCGATCGTGTTGAAGGGGCCGGGGCACCCGCGGTTCATGCTGGTGTCGGACCTCGATCATACGATGGTGAGTCGCGGCCCCGCCACCCAGCCCCTGACAGCCAGCCCGAGGCGCTGACGCCCCGACGCACGCGATCCCCGCGGCAGCAGGCCAATGCCGCTGCATGCGGCCGCTGCAATCCGCCCTTGCCGGCCCCATCATACTTTCTGCAACGCACCCCAGCTCCGCCAACCCACGCCGCACGTCAAACTTGGGTTGACCTGCTGGGTGGCACGTCAACGTGTCTTTGGATTCCTTTGCTCCATGATACCCCTCTGAATTCCATTAGCTCTGCAGCCCCCTAAATTGTTGGCGCATCTGTTTAAACTTGACGTCCCCCCGCCCCCAATCACAGGTCCAAAACAAGGACCCCACCCACGAGCGCCTGCTGCAGTTCAACCGCCTCTGGACGACTCACTTTGCACCAGACAGCCTGCTCGTCTTCTCCACGGGCCGCTCTCCCAACCTCTTTGCCGAGCTATGGGTGCGCCGCTGAGCCGGCGCGATGCGGGCGCATATCGCGCCGGAGGGGCCGAGCGGGGGTCGCCCGCGGCCGCGGCCGCCCTGTTGCTGCGCGGCGCGGCGGCACCACGGCGCATGACTGCGCAGCGCAGCGACTGCCTGCTCCAAGTCGGGCTGCGCCGCCACGTCGGCCGAAGCCGACGAGCGGCTTCCGCATGCCGTTCACACTCCTCGTCATCACCTCAACCCCGCAGCCGGCGCTGCATTTGGCGCCGCATCTCGCCCCATGGGGTCGGCCCCAATTGCAGTGTGCGATGGCTCCCGTTTACCCCTCCACCCCTCCACCCCCACACCCCCTCACACCCACACACCCACACACGCACCCAAACCCAATCATAGGACGAGGCGCCCCTGTTGACCCCCGACATTCTCATTTGCAGCGTCGGCACGGAGCTCTTCTACAGGCCGCCAGGTTGGGGGCGCCACCACATCATGCGCGACCTGATCTGATCCGGTCACATCTGGCTTACCTGCTGTCAGCCGCCAGCCCCAAGCCCGAGGTCGTTTCGGCTCGTCTTGCTGAAGCAGCTGCGCGTTTTCACTCGCCGCCGTGGGTGCGTGCGCAATTACTTGGGGCGATCGGCTTGTTGTTGTCTCTGATTGGGCCCGGTGGTGTGCGGCGTCCAATGCGTACCGCTGCCAGGTGGCGGCCCCCTGGTGCCCGATGGCAGCTGGGAAGCTGAGCTGGACAAGGGATGGGACAGGGCGGCGGTGCTCGACATCGTCGCGCGGCGGCCACGCCTGCGCCCGCAGGTGGGCATATAATTTGCACACCGGGGAGGACGGGGGGGAGGGGGGGGCGGTAGTGAGCCCGTGCCATGCTGGGCCGGAAGTGCTTGCTCCTGCCGCCTGGCGGCCTCGGCTGTCTAATTGCTTGCGCACCTCGGCCTGGGCCCAGGCTGCTGGCTGCAGGGTCTCGGGCCCCACGCCCCAGCGAGCGCCTCCGGCCGCCGCAGGCCCTGCCGCCGCCCCGCGCACGCACGCAGCACAACCCTCCCCCCCCCCAAACACAACACACACACACACACACACACACACTCACGCACGCAGCCGAACAGTGAGCAGCGGCGCCACAAGCTGTCGTTCCACCTGGAGGCTGGCAACGTGGGCGAGGTGGGTCCGCCCTCAATGGGGCCTGTGCTCGCTCGCTGCACTGACAAACGGACTGATTTCGCCATCTTTTTTCTGCCAGTCATGCTGTTGGCGGGCCAGGGGATGTCATGGAGTATCATGTGTTTGTGTTTGGGAGAGCGTGCAGGGGGCACGTTGGGGGAAGTGGGTTCCCTCACGGCGCCCGTCGACGGGCCGCCCTTGCGTGTCCGCCGGCGCCTCTCACGGCGCTGCGCAGCTGGGGTGACTGCCTCAAACCTGTGTGCATGTACACACACACACACACACACACACACACACACAAACTCTATCTCCTCCAGGAGGATGCGGCCATGCTGCTGGAGGGCCTGCGGTCTGACCTGGCGGCGGCGGGGGTGGCCGCCAAGGTGGTCTACTCTGGCGGCATCGACGTGGACGTGCTGGCACAGGTGGGTCTGCCTGCTCATCTTCTGCTCAATGTTATGTATATCATTGCATTGAGATAAACACACACATATACATGCCGAATGAGCAGACTCAGGAAGCGCGCGGTGGGGCGGGGTGGCCCACCGACACGGGCGCAGCGGTAGCTTCAGCCCCTGTGCGCAACGGCGGCGGCGGGGACCCAGCTGCCTCCTCCCTACAGTCGTCAGTGATCAGGCCGGCCCACTGGGCGCGGCCTCTGCTGTCAGGCCCACAGGCTGCGTGCGGGCAGCTTAGCGCACCGATCTCGACCGCTAATCATGCCCAATCGACGACCAAGCAACTTCTGACCTCCCAACCAACGCTGTGCAGGGCGCGGGCAAGGGCAAGGCCCTCGAGTTTCTTCTGGCCCAGCTGCGCGGCCTCGACCGCTGGCCGCCCAGCGGCGTGCAGGTGGGGCGCGCGGCCACACCCCTCCGCTCGCGGGCCGCGGGCGGACCGCTCGGCAGCGGCGGCAGCGCGCGCCCCTCGGCTGCGTCAATCCGCACTGAACCCTCCATTGTTTTGCCGCTGCGCAACCCATGCGCGGCCTGCCGACGGGCAAGCGGGCCACATGCCAATCGCAGCCGCCGCAGCCAGCCCAGCGACAACTCTAACGACCCCTCCTCAGAACACGCTCCTTCGGCACTCTTGTCGTTGACCAGGTCAACGGTGACAGCGGCAACGACGCCGAGCTGTTCACCGTCCCGGGGGTGCGGGGCTGCGTGGTTGCCAACGCCCACAAAGAGCTCCTCGAGTTCTACCACCAGCAGCAGGTGATACAGCAGTTTATATATATATGTATATATATACATGTATATATATATACATGTATATATATATGTATATACATATATATAAAATGTATATCAATGTTTTCAACAACTCCAACCCTTGTTTCATCTGTAGTCTATCCAGCGGGCCAAACTCTGTCTGAAACAGCATTTAGTCGGGGCGTCACACAGAAGCACAGTTGGGTGCACGAGGTAGCGTCATTTAGGGGGGGGGGGCCTGCAACATGCGTTGTGAACAAACCCTCTCGTCCCCAATCGGCTGTCGAGCCTGTTTCTACGTGCGCCCAGGGGGCGCCTCAGATCGCGCACCTTCCTACCCACCACCTCCCCACCACCGCCCACACTGCCGGACAGGCCCAGCAGGCTGCCGGGGAAGACGGAGGGTCAAAGCACGCCCCCCGCATCGTCCTCGCAACCCAGCCCTGCGCCGGCGGCATCGTGGAGGCCCTCACAGCGTTTGGCAGCATATCTGACGCGCAGGCCGCCGCGGCGCTCGCGTCAAGCGACGAAATCGGCGCCGGCAGCAGCGGCCGCCCCGAGGCCGCCGCCGCGCGCGCGGCTGCCGTCGCGCTTGCGCCGCTGCAGGGGGGCGACACAGGGGCGCTGGAGGCGGCAGCGGAGGCGGGCGCAACGCGGGCGACGGCCGAGGGCGGCTTGGTGGCGCTCGGCGGCGGCGCGGCCACGGCAGCAGCAGAGGAGCCGTCGCAGGCGGGCGGCGGCATAACATGGGCGGATGCAGTGGCGGTGCGGGAGGTCGGACCGGGGCTGTTTCTGGCAAACTATCAGCTCTGGAGCTTCAAGGAGGGTTCCCGCGACAGCGGCGGCGCCCTTGCCTGCTCGGCGCTGCTGAGGGTGGTTGGCGTCAACGGCAGCCGGGATGATGCGGAAGGCGGGGAGGCAGCTGCCGTGAAGCTGGTGCACCTGCATGAGGGGCCCCTTGGATATGATTTGACAGCCACCAAGGCGTTCCGGGACCTGGCTGTCAGCCAGGCGGCGACCGAATGAGCAAGAATGGAGACCACGTTTCCTCGCGCATGATTTTTGTGTGCGGATAGTTGTTTGCCGCTTCCAGTCCAGCGCTGGGTCTGCCCACGCGCCCGGATGAAGCGCCTGGGTCGCGGGCCCTGTGAGGCCGCAGGCGGTCGGTCGCGCGGCCGCCGATTGTAGTGCTTGCTACGTGCTGCTTTCCGGCACCAGCGCTGTGCGGGCCATGCCGGCTGCAGGTGTGTGCCCCTGAAGAATCCTGTGTCTGCACCTGCTGGTCAATTTGCAGTCAAACACACAATTTCTCAGCATGCCTGGACGTCCAGTGTGCAATGTAACCCCTGTACCCTCGGTGCAAAGTGTTCAGACCAAACAGCCTCTGCGCTGGGATTACAGAAAGTGTAGGGAGGTGTGAAAGACAAACACTTTGTGCATGTGCGCGCCGTGACAGGCGAGCCACAGGGGGGGCCAGGGCTCCTGCGGCAACACTGGCTTGGGGTGCAGTGCCGCTGTCCGCGCTCTGCCGCCGGCAGGGTGTCAAGGTGCGGGCAGGTAAGCGCGGCGGCTGCCACGTGCTGCAATCAGGAGGCTGCGGCACTAGTGGGGGTTACACGTGGCTTTGCTCCCCGTTCGCGTGGTGCGAACCTATGCACACAGACCAAGAAAACCTGAAGGGTATGACAATGCAAGTGCGGTGCACCAGTCCAGATCAAATCAGTGATAAAGTGACAAAGCTCCCGCAGGGGTGGCACATAGGCAAGACCCAACCGCGCACGACCACCAAAATTTTAACCGACTGAGTGGTGTCATCCGTAAAGACAAGCGTGATGCATCAATCGGCCAACCCAAGCCGCCGCCATGCTCGCTGGCCTGCCCCGGCATGTGCAAAGCCTCCAGTGTGGCTACCTCCCCGAGACCGTCAGCTGAGGTGCTCAGTGCCGCATGAAGGCTGCTGCAGCCGCCCCCAGGCGCGACGCCCCCGGGCACACGCCGAGGGATGGGCGGGGCGGCGCGGGGCGGGGTTGCGCCTGACGAGGACCCCGCGTGCGAGCGACTCTCAGTCACGGCCGAGCACGAAAGAACCCGCACCCCCCTTGGTCGCCCCCGCCACCGGCGCCGCCGGCCCCGCGGGCGCAGCGCCGGCGGGGGCGGGGCCGCCGGTGCCAACGCGGGCGGGGCCGGGGCCCCCGGCGCGGGCGGAGCCGGGCTGCATGGTGTGCGCCTGGCGGTCTGGCTGGACGCTTTGGACCTGAGCGCATGGTGAGGGGGCGGACGAGGCGTTGCAGGGCGGCGACGCGGGTCGGCTGGCTCAGGAGAGTGAGGAGTGCGGGTTTGCGGGGGGCACCCAGGGACCGCATGCAATGTGAACACTTGCTCGCGTCTGCTTGAGGCCCGCAACGCGCACACGCACACGCAAGCTGTATGCGCGAACCCAAGCACACACACAAGCCATGTACATGCGCATGCGTGCGCATAAACACGCGTGCGCACACATGCACGCACGCACACGCCCGTGTGCACACACACACACACACACAGGAACATGCAAACACACACACACACGCGCGCGCGCGCACATCACTCCTCCTCACATTCGGGTCCGCCTTGAGCGCCTTGAGCGCCGCCAGGTTTGGCACCGTCACCAGGCTTATCGCGAGGCTGGAGTAATCCCTGGCAAGCCGATTACCCGCCTTGGACGCAGCGGACGTCGGCGCAAAAACCCGCGCCTTGACGGCCGCGTTGCCGGCCTTGTCGTCCCTTTGGAAGACGACCAGCATGTCCTGCGGCTGGCCGGCCGCGAGGGCGGCGGCGGCGGCGGCCTCGGCGGGGTCCTGCGAGGCCGGGGCGGCGGCCGGGTAGGGGCGCGGCTTGCCGGGTGGGCCGGAGGCCGCGGCGGCGGGGCTGCCGCGGGGGTAGGGCTTCGGGGGGCCGGTGGAGAGGATGACCAAGGGGGATCGGCCGTTGGGCTGCGGTATGATGAGGCTGGCTGTGGTGGCAAGGGGGGTTGGGCGGTTGGGGGAGTGTAGGTTCGGGGTGAGGCGAGCCATGGTGGGCGGGGCCGGCGGAGCGTGCGGGGCGAGACGGCGCTACGGGTGCTGCTGGTTGGCTGCTGTGAGACGCAAAAGTCAAGAGCCGCCCAGCTTTCAGGGGATGGGCGGGGAAGGCGAGCTGCGGGGGCGCGCGGGCGCTTGGATGCGCGGGTCGCTTGCGAGGGGCAGCGCGCGCTCACCTTGTGCTGCGCTGGCCATGCAAAGCACGAGCGCACACGCCAGGCACGCGGCCGTGCGGGAGCGCATCATCAGCATCAGCGGCTGGCCGTTGTCGCGCCTGCCGCCGCCAGTGGGGACGCTGCGTTGAGCGGCCGACGCAAGCTAGGCCGAGCAGCGCGAGCTCAGCTGTGGGGCGTGCGGCGAGCGAGGCCTTTCAGGTCCTGAAAGGCCCTCCGCGAGTGCGCGGCTTGTGCGCAGTTTTTGATAGGTGAGACGAACACTACTTTGCGAATCGGGCTGGCGCTCGCTAACGACGGCTTCGGATCATCGGCAGAATGCAGCGGAGCGAAGTCTCTGCAAAACTCGGTGTGCCACGGGATTAAAGTTGCGAGCTGTATCAACCGGTATGTTTCGTGCGGTGGTCACCAGCAGGCGGTCGCTGCGCCGAAGCTGGGTAGGTGCATGAAGGTGCGCGGCGTGGCGTGAACGCCGGCGCGAAATGTGCCCAGTCAAGCTCAAACTGCTCGTATGTTTACTTTCAAGCCAAATCCAAGGTCATCTTGCGCTGCGGCTTTGGCCTGGTTGGGCGTGCCGCGCAGAGCGCATGCGTCAACCGCCTACGTGGCGAACAATCATCACAATTCAACCACCCCGCCCATGGCCGGCCCCGTCTGCGTCCCCCCCCCCCCCACCCTCTCCTGGAGAGCAATGCCTGAAGTCCCTCGTACCCTTGGTGCCCGCTTCCGGGCGCCCGAGCGCATCAGTGGCCACCCTAGCCCCGTGCCCCATCCCAATCGTGCACCGCAGCTGCCCCGTTGCCTGCACGCCTACGCCAAAGCACGACCCGCAGCACTAAAATCTAATGCTGAGATGGCAATCCAAGCAGCTGCAGATATGCGTGCTCTCACGGTCAACCTGTGACGGCCCCAAGTTAGTCAGGATTGCGGTGTCCCAGCAACCCCTGCCCTCGCGCGCACTGCCTTGCGCCGCGCGACCGCGCTGGTAGCTTTTCTGTAGTTGCAGGTTGCGGGTTGCTGTCATCTTGGCAGCGGTCCGACTGCACACCGAGGGCATCATCCTTGGAGAGCAATTTGCCTTGCTTCAAACTTGTGACAGGACATTACCTCTGATGACAAAACCCTTGCATTGCTGCCCTTTATGCACGGCCGTGCACCTCTTTCTGCAATCACGGCACAGTTTCCACGTTTTTCTTCATATCGGAACCCCACACTCTCGCAAAGCCGCAATTTCCGCCCCGAGGATCATGCTACTACGTTCGTTGTCCTGCCTAACACAGGCCCTTACAAAGACCACCCAGCGCCCTCATCCCCGCAATCAATGGTGCACCAGCCTGCCGTCATACCACAAAGGGCGCGACGACAGCGGCAGCAACAGCGACCACAGCGGCTACGGCACCGGAAGCGCCGGCAACAGCAGCAGCAGCAGCAGCAGCAGTAGTTCCAGCATCAGTGGCAGCGACAGTGACTAGGTCAGACTCCCCTCCGCCATAGAATCGTGCTTGCGGTGGTTGCAGTCGGACTCAGGCTCACTGCGAGACGCAATCGCTAATCACTTTGAGCTCCTGAAGATCCGCAAAGACCATGAGATCCTTACCATGGAGCTACTGATTATGAGCCGCAAGCTGCACATGCCAGGCGTGCTGGGTGCGTGCGCGCGCCGCGTGCATGCTTCACAGCCCGTTCGCGTCAGCCGACTGCCGCCACCTGCGTATATCCCCAAACGCCCTTCCTAGCTGCTCGCCACATTCCTCCCTTGTCGCCCCCGCTGCCTGCTGGCCTTCCGTCTGCTGCGCGGGCATGCCACCAGAATACGCGGAGGGGACCCTGTCGCCAATGTACTACCCGCGGCCGCCGCCCGAGACGCGCAAGGAGAGGTGGCTGCACATACTGGGAAGGGAGCGCCAGCTCATGGAGTGCCTGGCACAGCACGTGCACCCACCCAGCAAGGAGGCGGTCGCTGACGCGTGAGTAACGCAGCGTTGGCAGATGCCCAGGCCGCGTCGGTTGCGTGGCCACGCAGAGCCTGGCTCGCTCCTGCACTCCGGAGACCACGGCACACCCACGCAGTAGATGCATTCATCGTGGCGGCCGCGGCTGCAGGCTCTGTGTACGCAAGCGCGCACACCTGCACCGGCCGCACAGCCGTGGTGCCGCTCAAATTCTGCTTCCCCGCTCTGACCATCACGGCGCAACCACCTGCTGCTGGTCTTGCTTCGTCCAGGATGGTGGACCTGCACAACTCGCTGGCCCTGCACCCCGACGATATGAGGGATTTTCAGGAGAGCCCCGTGGCTCTGGACATAAGGGAGGGGCCCCTCACGCGGCAGCAGATGCAGCTGCTGGCCTGCGTGGCTGAGGCCGCTCGCGTGCTGTATTGGATGCGCTACAAATTCTGAGGATCAGCTGCTGCCAGAAGCATAGGCAACGCTGGGTCGTATGGCGGCGGGTCGAATGGCAACGGGTCGAATGGCGGCGGGTCGAGTGGCGGCGGGTGGATGGAAACAACTCTGGGACGAGTCCAGCCGGCGCCTATTCGCAGGGTCTGCCATTTCCGTTACGTGGCTGCAGCTAGATTGCAGCCACAGGTGCGTCTCACAGGTCATACTTGATGCCTACCTGGATATTGTAACCTTTTTGAACCAGCCTGCCAGAACCTTTTCCTGCAACATTTGCCCCTTAGCTCACACCTGCAGCCCCTTCCCTCATCAATCCAACCTGCGTGACCACACTCCGTGCACCACCCACTCGCTGCACCGCCTGCACCGCCCATGCAAGCCTGCGCAAGCCCGCAAGCCAACGCGCACGGCGCGCGGCACGGCCAGCCAACCGATAGCAGTGGATTCCAAGAGACATGACGCAATCTTGCCCATTGAATCCGATCGCCAGTCAGCGACCAACACGATGAGGCAAAGGGTCTTGTCACTGGAGGTATGTGCGCCTCAAGAACTCCTCCAGAGCATACACGTCCTCGAAGCGTGAGAGCGCCCCCAGGGACGCGCGCACCGCGCCCGTCGGCAGCTGCACCGGCAGGAGCTTCCCGCCGGGGCCGGGCCGCATGACGGTCAGAAAGTCGACGTAGCCCCCCAGACTGCGCGCCCGCTCCTGTTCGTGTGCGCAAATGTTGGTGCCGGGTGCTGAGCGCGTGTGCACATCACGGGCGAGTGGTGGATGGATTGTAGGGGCAAGTGTACCGTATTGGTGTGAATGCCAGCCCCACAGCCCAATACTGCCGTCTTGATTTGGCCTGGCTAGCCCTCGATGCCGTTTGAGCACCAAAACATGCATAAGTCTGCACAGCTGAACACGCAACACCCACCAGACCCGGGTGAAGCGGGGGCTGCGGGCCCAAACAGGCTACCTTGCTGTGCCCCCTCCCTTCACAACTGTCTACCCGCACTCTCCTCTGACAATATGAGATTGAGCAGCAGCTGCTCTGAAGCTGCTCACCTCCTCGGGGCGAATTCCCAGGTCAAACAGGCACTGCCCCGGGTTGCAGTGGCAGCTGCGCAGGCGAGAGGCGCAGCAGCAAAGCATAGCGTTGGGGTGGTTGAAAAAGTGGATGGGTCGGTTTCGCCCCGCAGGCAGGTGTGCACGCACATGTCTGCCAACGGCAGGGCCCGCTCACGCTGGAGGAGGCGGCGGGGCGCCGCGCTGCATTGTCGCCGTCCCTGTATGTGCAGCGGGGCACTCACCCGATACGCAGGTGTAGGCCGCTCCGGCAGGCGTCCGCCAACACCTGCGGGTGGCGTGAGATCGGTCCGACCAAGGGTGCAGGTGGGAACAAGCACTACGGGTACACGCCTCGCATGCTGACACCAAAAATGACGTGATTGTCACGCCGTCATGACCGCACACCCTTCATGTTACCGCCACTGACATCACGTTGCCCCCATATGCATGCCAGCATGCAGCTGAGATCACGCTGACTTTTGGGCTCACCCTATGCAAACAAATTGACGGCCGAACAAACCCCGACCCCTTCAGTGCTGAAGTTGATGCAGGTCCACAACCAAAATCAAGCCCCATTTGGGGCTTGCTGCCACCGTTGGGGTCCCTGCAAACCTGTGTGCCCGCCACCAGGCTTCCGTCCGGCCGCAGCACTAGAAACTGGAATATCCCCGCCTGCGCCGCCGCCCCCTCGCCGTGGGCCCCGAATATCCGCAGCAGCGGGCCGCCGCTCGCATGCCGCAGCGCCGACAGCCGCGGGAACGCCCAGGAGCGCAGCGACTCGGTGTGCGCCTCGATCGCCTAGAGGGGGGTGCGTGGTGAGCGTTGGCAGGTCCTGCTCCTGAGCGCGCGGCGCGTGCTGTTTGCTGGACAGGGGTGGCAGTTGTTGGATTTGGGGTGGCGAGGATTTGTGACGGCTGGATTTATCGATTGACGGTGCGGGTCTCGGAGTTTGGGTTGAAGTGATGGCAGGGTGCTGGGCAATTGTGTGGCGCCGCCTCGTCGCGTTTGTGCAGCCGCTGTCCTCAAAGGCGCGTGCAGCACCCCTCCATGACTCAAGCTGCGGACGGGGCGCTTCGCGTGCGCCCCGCTGCAGGAGCTTCCCTGCTGGCGACGCAGGCACGCGCACGTCGCGCGCCCCTGCAGGTCACCAACAAGCTGCAGGCACCGCTCAATTGCGGGCGCGCCCGCGCACCGCCATGCCGCCCAGCGAGTCCAGGAGGTCGAAGCCGTGCTTTAGGGCCGCGATGCTCAGGAATGGCACGGTGCCCGCCTCCAGGCCCTGTATAGAATACATCAGGGGGGGTTGTAGGGTCGAGGGGTTCCGCCGACCACCACACGGGGCGGGCGAGGCAGGCAGAGTGGCAGGTAGGGGCCCTGTTCGTGATAGGCGTGTCAAGCACCAGAAACGCGCCTGCGCCGCACCTCTGGCGCCGGCAGCAGTATGCGCCACGCGTCCTCCGCGGTCGCATCGACGGTGGCGCCACCACCAAAGTACACCGGCCGTAGCACCGCGGCGGCGTCGCGGCGCGCTATCAGTGCTCCGACGCCTGCGCAACGGGGGGGGTGCAGTTGGCCGCAGAATCGGGTGGGTTGTGAAGCTTCATGGGGGGATTACACTGCCGCGCGCACTTGGCAACTGCTGACGCGATGCAACTATGTGATGGGGTCGGTTTTGCTGTTTCCTTGGCAACGGGGGCGGCTGCCGGGAACCTTGACGGACCCCGATCGCCGCCCCCGCCCCGACAGTTTGGCACGTGCACACGCCACACCCTTCCGTGCGTGGCTCAGTCATGGGTGCAAGCACAAGCGACGGCAAGCAAGCAGCACTGCTGAGTGCTGCTCAGCCCACGCATTTCCGGCGGAACCTCACCTGTCGGGTAACCGAACATCTTGTAAAACGAGATCGTCACGAAATCGGGCTTGGTGCGCGACAGGTCCAAGGAGTGCGTCGGCGCGTGGGCAGCGGCGTCCAGCACCACCAGCCAGCGGTGCCCGGGGTTGGAGCGCGCGTGGATCTGTGAGCGGGCCGCGTCCAGCCGGCGGTCAAAGTGCAGGGGTCAAAGTCAAAGTAGACAGAGTCCCGGGATGCGGCACTATCACAGCTGAGGTGCAACAGGGGCATGCTTGCGTTGCACCTCGTTCCCTGAGAGGAAGGCGCCTGTAAACAGGTGGCGCTGCGGCGCACGGCGCGAGCTGCGTGACCGAGGTTACAACAGCATTTCGAAAGTGAGGGTGCGGCTCTGGCCGCCTCTGGCCGCCGCCCACCAGCCTGCTAGGGACACCGTCGGCATCACAAGCGCGACAGGCACTGGCTGCGTCGCCGCGCGGCAACCCTGCGCGCCTGGTCGACCCAGCCGAGGGGGTAGAGCCGCCCCTCGAAGTTGTCAAGAGAGGGGTAGGCCACTAGGCTGTACACCGCTGGCGCCTTGACTGCCACGCCGGCGGCCCCAGCCGCACCTGGCTTGGGAGGAGATGGCAAGGTGGGTTGGTATTGTGGTCGGTCCTGGCGTCCCTCGTAATACACTCAGCGGCCGGTGTCCAGCCGTTTCTGCAAGTGCAACGGCCCGAACCCCGTCCATCCCAATGCAGGCCGCAATCGGTTCGGACGCGCGTGCGGCGGCCAACCACAACTCGGACCCCCCCAGCAGCACGGCCGGAGGCACGGCACAGGGCATACATAGGGAGCAATTCAAGCTGCAGATTTGTCGATTCAATGCAGGTGAGGCAGCAGGTGGGGACTCACGTTGAGCCAGGGGCGATGTCAGCCACCCTTCCATGCCGGCTTCGTCCACGCAGGCCAGGGGGACCCCTCGCTCCCGGGCGTACGCGCCGATTCCCAGCACGCTCTGCGGCGGGATGAGGATGAGCGAAGGGCGGGAGCGTTTGTCCCCAGTCGGCGGCGGCCGAGAGGTGGCTCTGCTGGCATTCCCGTGTGTCGGGGTTTCGGGTAAGGTCGCAGCAGTCAACAGGCGACGTTGAGTGCGTCTGGAAACTGTCGGTGAAGAGTGTGAGTTGCAAAGGCCCTGAGTTGCCGGGGCAGGGCCAAAGGAGCAGAGGCCCCCGCCGTCTGAGCCGCCCGCCCTTGCTAGTGTGGACGGTGGGGCGGGTGTGTGGCCACAATCCAAGGAGAGCCCCGCCTCGCCTTGTGGTTCGACCTGAGATAGACAAAGGTGCTGTGGTCCTCGGCCGCAGCCGTCTGCCATACTCCTCTCGTCCCGCCGCCCCGCCGCCCCTCATCAAACGCGCCGCACGCGCCCACCACAGGGTCATCCGGCCCGTCACCTGTGGCGCCGCCGGGTAACTCAGGGCCGCGTGGGCGGCGGGCGCCTGTTGGGACGCTGCTGTGGGGGGCGGGGGTCCAGGGGAAGCACTCCCCCACGATTTTCAGCGCCTCTGTTGCTGACCTGGATGGCGGTTGGGTTACAAAGCAAATGAAATGTACATATCGTGCCGTAGCAACGACGCAGGACGCTACCTGTTCCTTGTGAACCGGGCTCATGCTGGCGTGCAAATGTGCGTGCGAACATGTGGCGTCCACGGAGGCTCGGACGCACGGGTCACCACGGCTGGCCAGGGTGACCCTCAGTTAGCTGCGCCTCACCACAGGCCAGCTGTGAGACACGAACGCCCTGCCTTGCGCCAGCGCTCGCATGGGCTTCTTGTGCCGCACAGTCTAGCAGCCCCGTCGGCCGATCCACTGCCTTTGCTCTGACTGCGCGCAATCCAACCACAATGGGCAGCAAGCTTGCCATGTGCTGCGCCCCAATCAACTCCAACCATCCCCAAACGCCCCCAGCCATCCCCAACCAACCCCAACCAACCCCTACCAACCCCTGCCAACCTCAACCGATCCCAATTAATCCCAACCACCGACCCCAGCCGGCTACAACCCACCCAAACTGACCCCAACCAACCCTGTACAACATCCATCGACCGAAATAATCCCACTGGGGCCAGTCAACCCCAAACGGCCCCAACTGACGTCCCACCCAGGTGATAGGACGCCCCATTTGCCCTCTCACCTGGTGAACACCACCACATACTCTGAGGGATCGGCATTGAAGTGCGTCAGCACCCGCGCCCGCGCGCGCTCCACCTCGCGCCATGCGGCAGCACTGCTGGGGTTGGTGCTGTGGGGGTTGCCGTACACCACAGCAGAGAGCTCTGCGGTGGCGGCCCTGGCGGTGCGCGCAAATGCCAAGTGTGTATGCGTGTTTTTGTGTGCGCATGTGTATGTGCGTGCGTGTGTTGAAGCCGGAGTGGTTTGTTAGATGTAAGGAGTGGCCTTTGTGGCTGCAAACTCTGCAACAAAGCGACAACATTTGGGCCAATCACGGCTGCTGTTGCGCACTAATATCCAACTTATGTGAGCCACGTGCGGGTGCCGCACGAACCACCGCGCCGCTTCGGCCGCGCGCGCCGCGGGGCTTGTCGGCCGGGCTCGTATGTTGAATACAGGTGCAAATTGCGCGCGCCTGATCTGGCTGTTGGTGTAGAGGCCGCTGCCCGCAAAGTCCAGGTAGTGGTCCCCGCACAGCCGCACCCCCAGCTCCGCCTCGAAATTGGTGTCCAGCCAGCCGCTGGATGAAAGGGGGGGGGGTGCACAGGGGAAGCAAGGGGTTGAGCGGAGGAGGGAGCAGAAGGGAAGGAGGCGATGGGTGAGGTCGGTGTGTGTGTGTGTGTGTGTGTGTGTGTGTGTGTGTGTGTGTGTGTGTGTGTGTGTGTGTGTGTGTGTG